AGGTAGATATATTGACCAAGTTGTTTGGAGACCAGATATGTTGAAAAAAAAAAAAAAATCATCCCCCTGATTAGTACAATAAAATTTAGAATATCAAGGAAACATATCAATTAAACTTTAACCTCCTCTAATAGATGAAGAATATATAGTAGGCATTCATTAGCACACCTGAATCGTACTTAATAAAAAAAATTGTCCCTTATTTCTTCTCACTTCATGGGAAATCAGTACATATTAACTGCTATATATATTCCATTGAACCATTGATATATCTTTGTATATTTATGCTTGGCCTGTTTCATAAGAGTTGTTTGGCGACATTAATTTTCATGATTGGCTTTTTCAGTTGGTTTAATCTTGCAATTTTGATGAATTCGTTTTTTTATCCTGGGATATGATCACAAGATCTTAGGTAAAGGGTAATTAAGAATTAGGTAGTGATACATTACAAAACTCCCCTTGTGCTTCTTTAGTAAGACACCAAAGTACGTATACTATATTTCTCTCATGGGTATCTCGGTTGGTCTCAATAAACCTCCTTAGGAGTTGGTGTCCAGTGCCCGCAAGAGTCCCAATCTTGTGGTTATCGTGTTTGGGAGGATGGGGCCTCTCCTCTCAGGCCGGAATGGGGATTAGTCAGGTCCCGTACTAATTGACTCAGACACCCACTTCTTTAGGAAAAAAAAAAAACCAGAATTATCCATGGCAAAGAATCATAAAATCTCATTACGAAATCTTGGGTTAAATCATTTCTTCCCTCTCATGCGTGGATTATGTGCTACTAGTGATAACACAGTATAGTGTAGACGTTACTAGAGCAAACATAGGCACTAAAACAATAAATGTACATACTAACACAATAATATGTAATAGCACAACAAATTTTAGGCACAAATTTCGATGACAAAAAAATTTTGTTATTTTTTTTTAATCTTATTGTGTTAGTGCGTACATTTGCTATGTTAACATCTACATGTCTAGATCTGTTATACTACTGTATCGTGCTGTCACCATTGCTGACGGTAGAGATCCATGATGTCGCATGTGTGCACCCGTGGCCCGGTGTATCACTTCACTTGGTTAGCATTTCTAGTACAAATTTAGTAGATTTGGTTGTCAATAAGGAATGAGACTGGAAAGTTGAGTGTGACTGAGACACATTTTTCAAATAAACGATGTGTATTTATTCGAGATGGTTAATTACTTTTTTAACCCTGAGAGGGAGATCACCATTCAAAACCTGCTGCCATTCATGATTGACTATGAACAAGAAACTAGTATTCCAAGTTTTCAGAAGTACAAGCTTTTTTAATTGCACTATGGACGTGTAATTTTTATGCATTATTCTTAAAAGAGATTGGCTACAAAAGAGTTGTTTATTTCAATCAAGTTGTTCAGAAGGACAAAAAAGAGTTGTTTACTCATAGTTCATGAATAGAACTTAAGCCAAGCAGAGTTTGGAAAAGCAAATCTTATTTATTTTCCCTTTTATTATGGCATTATTAATCTATATTACGTTTGACCTAGCAAACTGTCATTGAAATATAAAGCACATGAATCTTATAAGTATTAATTGAGTGAACTTTTGCGCAGTGGGCAATGCATATATTCGCTTTTGGCTCTCTGCCTTGCAGGGATTTTTGTCTTTTAAGTTTCAACTACTACATCAATGCAGGTCAAGAAAAGGGAAGCCAAGGGTAAAGAAAAAAAGATTTGTTCAATAAGGCAAATATCAGTCGAATCCCTTGGCTAAATAAAGGTTAATTATAAAATATATATTACCAAAAAATTGCTTTTTAATTAAAAAAATTGTATAAAAGTAAAATGCTATTCTTCTTGGATATAATGGTAGTAATGATTGGCATACATGCTAAATAATGCTCTAGATAGAATATGGTAAATTATTGGGTATCTAATTCATAACCCTGTGCTGCACTCTATAGTGCTAAATTGACTTTGATATGATTCCTAAAAGGCTTGGTTGATCTTTTTTATCCTCTACATTGATTCACATTCTGTTTTGATTTACATGAATTTAGAATTTGTTTTGTACAAAGCCAAACTTGGCTGTGCCCTTGTGCATTCCTTGCTTGCTTGTGTATAAATATTATTTGCCATGCTAGCAAAGAGATTAATAAGAAAGCTGCCACAATCCCAGCTTTTGCTATTTATCTTGAAGACTTTAGGTACTATTTGAATAATAAGATAGATCTTTTATTAAGTTGTTGAATAGCAGAAATTGAACTATGCTGTGTAACTTTTTTTGGAACTTTATTTCAATTTTCTGCATTATGTATTCAAATTTTCGCTTGCAGGTGTTAGCTAGACTGTCCATTACACTAATTAGTAACCACTCAAATTCCAAATATTTCTGGAAAATTTTTCTAATTTCTATTTTACCTCTGATATATAGATTTATGCAACTTAGAGCAAATTCTGAATAGCAGGACGATGAATCTCATTGGAAGTTAACCACTACCCTTAAGTAAGGATACTGTTTGTGATTCAGTCAAGGACTTGATCATAATTAGGAACATATTTCCTTTTGTGATTGATCTACTTTACGACCATTTGGATTAGTATGTCACTGGCAAAAGCCCTCTGAGCAATCCCTGTCCTTCATGTTTTTAATTCCAGGATAGAGATGGTGGGTGCTAGTGGTGTAGAGCAAGGCAACAGATTGAAGAAGAGATTCTTTGGATGCAGCAAAGATGATTTTTTCCCAGAGGAGTCATTCAAAAGCTGGGAAAATTACACCAGGGCATTGCGCGAAACAAAAACACGGCTAAAAGATCGTCTCCTGGCACGATCATTCGACCAATTGGAGCTTCAAGAAGTGCGAGCTCGTAGCCAAAATCAGATGAAAAAGACATTAAATTGGTTTGATTTACTGTGGTTTGGTGTCGGGGGAGTAATGGGAGCTGGTGTCTTTGTCCTTACTGGACAAGCCACTAGAGATGATGCTGGCCCTGCTGTCCTCCTATCTTTCCTCATAGCAGGCATTGCTGCTTTGCTTTCTGTCCTGTGCTACACGGAGTTCACTGTTGAACTTCCTGTTGCTGGAGGATCATTTGCCTATTTAAGAGTGGAACTTGGAGACTTTATAGCTTTCATTGCTGCAGGAAACATTCTTTTCGAGTATATTGTGGCCGGGGCTAGTGTCGCACGCTCATGGACTTCATATTTTGCCACCCTGTGCAATCATGATCCTAATGATTTCCGTATAAATGTCTCATCTCTTGCTGAGGGCTACAACCATTTAGATCCAATTGCAGTTGGTATTTCTGTGATTATTTGTGTTGCAGCAGCTCTGAGCATCAAAGGCTCCTCCCGGTTTAATTCATTGTTGACTATAGCTCATATCTTGGTGATGGTTTTCATCCTTGTTACCGGCCTAAGTAAGGCGAATCCTGCTAATTATAAAGAATTTGCACCTTTTGGTGTTCATGGCATTTTCACAGCAGCAGCAACACTCTTCTTCGCATTTGTTGGATTCGATGGAGTGGCAACTTTGGGAGAGGAAATTAGAAATCCAGGTAAGGATATCCCTATTGGCCTAATTGGATCAATGCTGATTGTGATTACAACTTACTGCCTCCTAGCAGTAACGTTATGCCTCATGCAGCCATATTCTCAAGTTGATGTTGATGCACCTTTCACAATTGCATTCCAAGCTGTAGGATTGAAATGGGCTAAGTATATTGTAGCACTTGGCGCACTAAAGGGCATGACCACAGTTTTACTGGCAAATGTCATTGGACAAGCCAGGTATTTCACTCATATTGCTCGAACACACATGGCTCCTCCAATTCTTTCTATCATCAGCCAAAAAACAGGCACACCAGTGAATGCCACAGTGGTCATGACCATCGCAAACTGCATTGTTGCATTTTTCACAAGCCTTGATGTCCTGGCAAACCTTCTGTCTATTTCTACCTTGTTCTTGTTCACTCTAGTTTCCATTGCGCTTATAGTTAGACGACACTATGTTTCAGGGGATACATCAAATCCTGATAGGAACAAACTTATATTCTTCTTGGTGTTGATCCTATCATCCTCTATTGCCACTTCTGTTTGCTGGGGTCTAAATGTCACTAGCTGGATTGGTTACGTAATTACGGTAGGGATGTGGTTTTTAGCCACACTGGGACTGAACCTGATGGTTAAGCAGGCAAGAAAACCAAAGGTTTGGGGAGTGCCATTAGTTCCATGGGTGCCATCAGCTAGTGTTGCACTCAATATTTTTGTCATCAGTTCAATTGATGGTCCATCATTCATCAGATTTTCTATTTGGACAGTGGTTTTGCTTGTGTACTATTTGCTGGTTGGATTGCATGCTTCATATGATGCAGCCAAGGAGTTTGAAGGCAAAGGTGGAACATCCTCCCATGCAAACATTGAAGCTGGTATAGTAAGAAATAATGAGGTTGAAACCACCACATAGCCTAAGCATTTGGCAATGGTTAGAAGAAGCAGGGTAAATTAGTGTTCACCTTTTTGGATTGGACTAGTGTTTCCTTTTATGTAAAGATTCATGTTTCAAATTAATCTTGTATTGCAGCAAGATTGCAGTGTTTTTATTTTATTTTATCATGAATTTTATGTTGAAGTAGTAGTCTATAAAATTGAGATTGTTTGTGACATGAAAAGCAGTGGAATAGTATGATCAAAGATCCCTCCCCGGATCTTGATGTGCCCCTAAGCCGGATCTTCATCGGAGAGGTCCAAAATGAAGAAAAAAAAAGAATAATTAAAAAAAAAACACTCATCATAAGATCTCATGGGCTAGAAAAGAACAATTTAGAGTCTAGATTCTTGTAGTGTCGGTGTTCTCAAATCATAGGCATGTAATGCAAATATAAGTCATGTTTACAACCGATAAATTAATGTACTGAAATCCAAAAATGGCACCTTGCCATGTGAAAATCAAAGAGAAACGAACAATAACCCAAACAAGTCTAAAGCAACCAAAGCCCTCAAGAGTGATAAAACGCTCTTAATCAGGTAATTATGCAACCATTAGGATTCTCATCACTGAAAAAGACCTCATACGGGTGCTGGCCGGGCGGTGGTGGAAGCGCATGGTAATTTCCAGGCATGTGGTCATGCAGTGGCGATCCCGGATGCCTGTGGTATGAAAGGTATCCTGGAGGACAGTGGTCATGTCGGAGGGGCGGATAATGCGGTGGCGACTCCACATGCCTATATGAAGGTAGGTGATGACGGCGGTAGTAGCTTTCATGATGGGGCCCGGGGTAATAATCAGGCGGCGGCGGCGGCGGCCCCCTGTGCCTATATGAAGGTCCATGACTGTGGTGGAAGCTCTCATCCATGGTATCGTCTGCGAAATTCCACCTGTAAGTCCTTGTAGTGGATGCTTCAAAGCTTCTCAGCCCAGGAATTCTTGACATTTCATCCAACGCATGCATGTATCGTCCATATCGGTGGGGACCATCTTTGGGGCCATGATGTGCATGAGGCCAAGGTGGCGGTGCTCTGCCATGAGACTGTGGCGGTGGAGTTGGTGCATGAGAACGGGAACGAGGAAGAGAACCTGGCGGTGGAGATGGTGGATGAGAACGAGGACGTGATGGTGGTGGAGACGGTCGTTGTGGAGGAGAGGGTGGTGGTGGAGGTGGAGCCGGAGCTGGAGAACCTTGTGGTGGTGGAGGATCTGGAGAAGAAATTGGTACCTTTTTCTTTTTCTTTGGTCAAAAGTTTTGAAAATAAGAAAAATATCAGCACACATGCATGAAGGATTAATAATTGACACTTAACATTTTAATATTGCAAAGGAAATTATGAGCAACAAAAAAAAAAAAAAGCTTATAACTGGGGCCAAGTCCCATTACAACATGGACCAATTATACTTAGCTCTAGTTTGAAAAATATTACTCTATATATCATTAGAAGAAAAACAAACATTGAAGGCCACCAAAACAAAAAAAAAAAATTGTGAAAACCAAAAACATAGGAATATCTCAAAAGGAATATTAGCATTAGTATGTAATAAAGTCTTTGCAGGAAACAGCAGATCTAGTGAGTTTTGTCTGATCATATTAGTGTAACACATGAAGATGATTTGGAGTATTTATTGCAAGACTTTGTGTATATTCCCGTTTGGGGGTAGACAAGTAAATTTAATTCACTAGTTAAAATGTATGGATTTACACCAAATCTTGTTATGAGTAACAAAATTGGACACAACAACAAATACAAATATGCTTTATTTTATTTTATTTATTTTATTTTTGTACAAAAACTAGCAAGTAAAATTCGCACACATTCATCCTAAATCCCATATCTTGTAGGTATTTGTGCTTGGACCTCAAATGCAAGTTTACCTTTACACAGTCTCATTATGGGAACACTTAAATGGTTAATTAGTGTATTCCTTACAAGATTTGGTGTATCTCACATTGAGTTAGGATGTACAAATAAATTCACCAACACCCTAATGCTCTATGTATTTACATCAAAAATTGCTATGAATTATAAAATTGTACACACTACAATTACAAGGACGGTGTTTTATACGTAAACAAGCAAGTAAAGCCATACACAAATTCAACATTCTACCAAGTCTAGTACAAATTCATGATTGCACCTCACAAGCAAAGTTTAGCTTTAGGCACCATTTGGATTGAAGGGAAACAAGGGAGAGGAAAGGAAAGGGTACCAATAGAAAAGGAAAAAGAAGGAGAGTAGAGGAAGATGGTCTCCATATATTTTGTTATGATTAAGTATGGAAGGTAAAGAAAGGAAATACTGAATTGAATTCTTGTTTGGGTTGAGGAAGGAAGAGAAAGAAAAGGAAAGATCAAGTGTTAATTTATTGAAAAAAGATAGGGACAAATTGATCTTTTCAAAAAATTTAAATTATTCCATAAATTTAGTTTCATTTCCCTCTATTTTCACCTACTTTTGAGCAGAAACCATAATTCAACAAAATAACTAGACTCTCTCCCTCTCTTTCTCTATTTAAAAATCAATCCAAACAACGAAAATCAAAACTCTCCAATTCCTCTCCTTTCCTTTCCCTTCCATTCCCTCAATCCAAACAGTGCCTAAGAAAAAAGTACAAACCATGTTTCCTTTTCCCTTCTTTTCCCTCTCAAGTGCCAAAGAATTGTTCAATGAACCTGTTTTGCAAATGCACATAAAGAAAAAACAAGAAAACCTTATTTGTGTGTTTTTTAACTTCTAGCACTAGCCCTGATTTAAGCAAATTGCTTAATAATTAAAGTCGGGAATAGAATACATGATAATATAAGAAGGTAGTAGCTGCAAATTACTAATTAATAGATTAGGTGGTCAGGAAGCACCAGATTGAAGAAGAAAGTACAATTTGAAGCCAGATTAATGACAAAAAGGCAGAAGTACGAAAAACGTATATAAAAACAAGCCTTTGTATATTCATCCTAGTAAAGTGTTGTAGCTCGTAGTAGTGCAGAGGCAGAGTACCGAGCTATGGCTCATGGTGTGTGTGAGATGTTATGACTGAAGAGAGTTTTAGAGGAGCTGAAAAGACCTATTGAACTTCCAATGAGGCTCTATTGTGATAACCAGGCAGCAATTAGCATAGCTCATAATCCTGTGCAACATGATAGAACCAAACATATTGAGATTGACCGCCACTTCATAAAAGAGAAACTTGAAGGAGGAATTATCTGCATGCCATTTGTTCCATCAGCTCAGCAAATAGCTGACATTCTCACCAAAGGACTCCTCAGACCAAATTTTGAACTTCTTACAAGCAAGTTGGACATGATAAATATATATGCACCAACTTGAGAGGGGGTGTCGAAGATATTATCTCCTATGATTATGGAAGATATTATCTCCTATGATTATGGAAGATATTATCTTCCATAATTATCTCCCATGATTATGAGAGATATTACCTCCCATGATTATGGGATTTTAATGCTTATGATCAATCAAGTTTGAATAGATCGGATATGAGTTGATTATGTAATCCCTAAAATCATGGTTCTATTACCTTAAGTGGTGGCAGAACTATGATAGGGTTGTCCTATAAATGCCTACCTTGTAAGCAAATTTAGTGTGTGGGAAAATAAAGGAAAGCAGAGTTTTTTGTTCATTTCTTTTCTTTTAAAATTTACATAAATGCCCAAATGATGTAACATATAATTTTATCCATGGACTGTCAGAATCAAACATCATGCCACTATTTACTTTCCCATGCCTTGATTTGATCTCATCTGGACTTTCTGCATATTCATATCAAGCCAACTGAGGAAAAATGAGTTGTCAAAGGTCTCATTCTGGCTTTATCCGTGCTTTGGAACAGTAATTGTTAGCATTGCTTCATCTAATGATAGTGCTAGGAAGCCTCGTCTCTAACAAATTAAGCTTGGTATATAGTTTACTCTCTATTGACATACAAAAAAGGTAAAATGCAATAGAAGATGCCTATGAAATGGAGGGCTACATATAACTCAATAATCTTGATAAAATTTTGTATTTTTTGCACCAAAAAAAGAATTTGAACAGATCTTTCAAGACATTCTCAACTATCTTTTTGTTGCACTTATACTCCATCTAAGAAGGCACTAAAGTAATTATTTGCCTTTGACCATTTACCATGCTGTAGCTGATACCGTGCAGTAATATCTGATGCCCAAACTATACCCACCAATGTGCCCTTTTTAAATCTTTATGCCATCTTCACTTTTCACCATGAGAGACTAAAGAGGGAAAGCAATCACATCAAGTTGGTCTTATTAAAAAAATCCCACTGTTCTCTCATATCTTTTTGACAATCACATATTAACTTCAACCCCATGTGTGCCTTTTCATAATGGCCCCCAACAAATGACTAGTCATAATTGTTAACAGGTATCTTGGGAGGAAAGCATCATCGTGTTTCTTTTGCTCCTAAAGTCAATAAACAGGTTTCTGAACCCTTTTTGTTAGTTCATTCTGATGTTTGGAGTCTTAGTCGAGTCACTTCAAAGTTAGGTTTTAAATATTTTGTAGTCTTTATTGATGATTTTTCCAGAGTTACATGGCTTTATTTAATGAAAGATCGTTCAGAATTATATTCCATTTTTTGTGCATTTGTTACAGAAATAAAGAATCAATTTGGTATGCCTGTACGTATACTTTGCAGTGATAATGCGAAAGAATATTTTTTCACTCCTTTTAATACTTTTATGACTAAGTCTGGTATTATTCATCAATCCTCTTGTCCTCACACTCCACAACAGAATGGAGTTGCTGAAAGGAAAATTGGACATTTAATCGAAATTGCTCGAACACTGTTGTTGCACATGAATGTGCCCAAACAATTTTGGAGTGATGCAGTTCTAACTGCATGTTATTTAATTAATCGCATGCCATCTAATATTCTTGGAGGTCAATTACCTCACTCCATTCTTTTTCCTCATGAACCTGTGTTTAAATTGCCTCCTCGTATTTTTGGATGTGTGTGTTTTGTTCATCAGCTTGCTCCCGGGATGGATAAATTAGATTCTCGTGCTATTAAGTGTATTTTCTTAAGATATGCACGAGCGCAAAAAGGGTATAGATGTTACAGTCCAGTTTTAAATCGATTTTTTACTTGTGCTGATGTTACTTTCTTTGAATCCACTCCGTATTTTATCAAACAAAGTATGTCTTGTGAATTAGACCAGTGTCCCTCTTTTTCCTCTTCTGTTTTACCAGTCTCTTCCCCTTTATTACCTGAGTTATCTAGTCCACCAGATTCCATAACTTGATTATCTCGTCCTCATCTTCAAGTTTACTCTTGTCGTTCCATGGTTGAGAAAGTTCCTGATATGCCACGCACTTCACCAATTAACTCTCAATACTATTCACGCGCACTGTTCACGGCGCACTGTTCATCGCAAATTTTGATTGCTGTTTTGTTTGAAATGCTATTCGCTATGGTTGAAAGTTTTGCTAATGGGGTTACCACTGATCAAGTTGAATCAAGTTCTTCAGCACATGGGTCCCAGAAAACTGTTACTATATCCGAAGAAGATTATGTTAAATTCTTATAATACTAAGCTACAAGTCACGCATCTCTTCCCTCTGCTTCTTTAGTACAAAAAGGTAATGACTCATGGATTATTGACTCCGGGGCTACTGATCATATGTCAGGTACCTCTAAAATTTTTTCTAATTTTCAAGAGTCTACTCCCTTTCCTCACGTTACTTTAACTGATGGATCTACCACTAAAGTTAAAGGACTAGGCACTGTAGAAATTAATCCATCACTTCCGCTGTCTTCTGTTCTTTACGTACCCAATTTGCTATTTAATCTAATGTCTGTTAGTAAGCTCACTAAATTTCTACAGTGTACAGTTACTTTTTCTCCTGATTCTGTTGTCATTCAGGATTTGAAGACAAAGAGGACGATTGGTGGAGGGCATGAGCATAATGGTCTTTACTTTCTCAACTTCAATGGTCCGATAGTATGTCCTGCTACTGTTTCTCCTCTTGAAATTCACTGTCGTTTAGGTCATCCGTCTTTACAAAATTTGAAAAAGTTGGTTCCTACTTTGAATCAATTATCTTCGTTAGAATGTGAGTCTTGTCAGTTATAAAAACATCTAGCAAAAGTCTTGACGCGATACTGTTCATCGCGCACTGTTCACTCGATGAATAGTACGCACGATGAACAGTACCGCGTGAATAGTATCGCGTGAACAGTGCACGATGAACAGTATCGCGTCAAGACTTTTGCTAGATGTTTAACCCTAACCCTAGGACTTTTGCTCTGATACCATGTTAACAGGTATCTTGGGAGGAAAATATCTAGTCACCGTATTATGAGTGACCAACTAGTATTTATAGGAGTACAAACCTAACAAACTATTTACAAGAATACCCTTACTAATTTATTATCTACAAGAATACTTATATTCTCTTAACAATAATTAAGGCACAACATTGAGAACAATCCACTGTATATACATGTGGCGAATTTCTATAAAGTTGTAGTTTGTTAACACTCAGGCAACCTGTAGCACCAAAGTCTCATGATCTTTATATTTTTCAGCCACAAGATCTTTCATTTTCCTGCTATATCGAAGCCTATTTAGATGCTTGTTTGGCATAAAAGACACTGAGAAACTTAAAAAAGTAATGCACTCTTTATGCTGAGGTAATTATCACGCCTTCCCATATTGGTATGTCCCAAGATGGCTTATTCTACATTGTTATCTCAAGATTTCCAATTCACCCCCTGCTTTGTCAGGATATGGCTAAATTGCTCATTGACAACACAACAATAGTTTCATTTCACAAAGCAACCGGGTATGTATACAATTATCAACCAATTTGTAACAAAGCTTCAACTTTGCTTCTTCTATATGAGTTGAGATTTGAATTTGTCTCATGGGGACAATAATTGTACAAGGAGGAAAACTGAGGCTCAATGAGATATAAATGTGTGTTTAATAATAAGGGCAAGTGGAAAAGTTGGAATCACAAGATTTCTCTTTGTTCAGAGGGTATAAACTCAATGCCTAAAAATAATTGTGCTTACCAGGACGAACACGTTCCTGCCCAAAGCAAGTTCTTGACTCGCCCACAGTTCCGTCATCACGAACAGGTGTACATGTAAAGGATATGAATTTACCAATAGCATCTTTAGTGATACGATACTGTAAATGACCAGAGAGCTCAGCTATCAAAGAACCCAATTCATTTTCAGCCTGAAGAAAATTGCAAAGATGTCAGTTTACAAATGATGGAATGAAAGATATGAAAGCTGAAAAACAAAGACCAAGATACTAAGAAGCTCCATTCTACTATGTAATATCTTGTGGGAACCAATAGTTTCTTTTACTGAAGACAAATTGACCATTTTTAGTCCTATGATCCATCATGCTTGACTTTCCATGGTCAACCAGAATTGCCACTATTGGAATACTTTGTGTTGTACAGTAGCCTATTTGAGCTTTACAGTGTAAGCGTGTGCATAAACTACTGTTATCCCAGAGACTAATATTCCAACATAATATAAAAATGCTACATGAATCAGTTCAACCTCAAAAGGTTGAACTAATAACTCACGGGATAATGCGAGAATGGTTTTCCTTGTGTAATAGTCTCTTTGTCAATTTTGGAGGACTTCATATTTGTTTATTCCAGGCTTAGAAGACAAATTATTGCTCCCCATCCCCACATCATCCGCAGCCTCATAGAGAGAACAGAGGAGGATGAGGAGGATAACATAATTTAGAAGACAAAAGCGTGTCAATTGGACATGTCAATATGTAAGGTCTGAGTTGGATCCCTTTGATCCAGATATAGACACATTAAATTCAGTTAGACCCAGATCCAAACCTAGACCCTTATGGGTTTGAAAAAGTAAACCCAGACCCATATACTCATGGGTCTGGGTATCCCTGGATATTTTTCTGAACATACAATGAAGAACTAAATAAATATTTTGAAAATATATAAAATTCAAAAGTAACATTGACACCATCCAATTTTTATTTTCAAATAATAAAATTACAATCAAGATGTTGAATGCAAGATCATAGAATCAAAGAAAGAACTATTATCAACTATAACTATTTATTTTCAAAGCTTCATCTACATCTACATTCAATATTTCATTTGTTTGCTTTTAATTTTTTTCCTTTTCCTGAAAAAGTTTGTACCAGTTACAATGACATAGAATATTAGATTATTTTATAAATTTACAGTCTGGGTGGGTCTGGTTTGAATCTAAGTTCGAGTCTAGATCATAGAAAACCAAGTGTTACCCAAACCCATGACTCTCTTACAAGGTCTAGGTCTGGGTCTGACAAATTAAACCCAAACCCTACCCAAGTATGTTGGGTCTGGGTTGGATCCGAGTAAGCCCCAACCCATTGACATTCCTAGTGCCAATTATCGAGAATTGAGATATAGAAAAGTGCAAGATCAGAATTTATTCATGTTGAGCTTGAGACTCGGGACAGTATTATGTTAGCATTGGAACAAGTTTTCTGGGAAGAGAAACAGGATGACCTTTATTGCATGGAGAGTGAAGATTAATTTTGAATTCTTATTGCTGCTGCTATTGTCAACTAGTATCATGCAGGAAACTGAAATAGAAAAAGGTTGGGGAAAAGGTGACATTTAAGCATAGGTATCTCAAATTCAGACAAAATTACTGCTTCAAAGAAATCACTAGGAGTGACAATTGCCAACTTTCAGAAATAAGCGAGTACCATGTATACACGAATTTGCAGATACGAAGACCCAAGTTGAGATGCATATAAACGGTTGTAGTTACCATTTAGATGGTTTCACTGTCCCTTCAAGCTAGAGTTTATATTTTATTGCTTAGAACTTGTAATAGTAGCCTGGAGACAATAACCGTGTACCTCATGAAGATACCAATTATAGATACTTTTTCCCTCATGACCACCAATATATCCATATGACGCTGTCAATATGCCATCTTCGGAGTAATCACCCGTTATGGACAAGAAATTTAGGCTAGGTGGAAGAGCTGGGAACATGTAAAACAGGCATTATCAGGTTATCTCCAATATCAATTGACCTACATTTCAGAAGGAAAGCAAACATCTCAAGTAAAAATACTCACTTTCCACAGCTCTTTCAGCCAGAACATATGCTGGTTCACCTGCTTCACCATCAGGTGTCATTGGAGTAAATTTTGCAACAATATAGTGGCCCACAGCTCCCAAAGGAATTCTAAATGCCTAATGAAAGCATAAGTCCCGTTAGAATGGCAGAGCAATGTGAAATATTAAGTAAGATACCACAATTGCACATCTTGTTACCTTTGCAATTTTAGAGGTGCTTAATGCTTCAAGACCATTTTCTCCCTGAAAAGTCAGGGAGGAGGTTTTAAACCACTGAACCCTGCTAGACCCTTCAGTTCCTCCAGTGACAATTCCAGTAACAGTAACCTTACTTCCTTCCTTTAGTTCGCCAATTATTTTCACATTGGTTACTTTTGGGGGAGCTATAGTTCAGGTCAAGACAAAAGTGTAAGAACTAAATGATGTATAACCAATTTCAACATGACAAAAGATATATTTACAAGAAGTGGAGAGAGAGTACTCTGACCATTCTGGCACTTCTTCCCCAACCAAACACCCCCCCCCCCAAAAAAAAAAAATTACTTGTCGCGAAAAATTTATTTAAGGCATAGCATCCAACACAAGTGAAATAATATGACTCTTCCTCTCCATGGATAGTTCTTTTCTTTTGAATAATCAGAATTTAATCAAGAAGTTATATTTCCAATTTTAGTACTTAAAATGTGTATTTCAAACTCAACTATTAACGGATGGCCAAGTTCAGTTAAGTTTCCAAACAAGAACTGGTTGAAATATGAACATTACTACCAAAGCTAGCTTTCAACTACAATAGAAGCTGATGGTGTTAGCATCAAAGAAATGTACCCCGCTTAACCATTTGGGAGATTGTTGACACTGGCTTTCCTTCCTGCCCTGTAACCAAAGAACACGACAATTCTTTATTTATGCCACTAAAAGCAATTGACTTGCAACATAAGCAAAGAAGAAATCTTTTAATAGTTCAACAGAGTTAAAAAACCTTCAAAATTCACGGGTAGGTATACAAATGTCAAATGCCGGCCAATATCTTCTTTCATTAGTGTATACTCATTTGTACCAGTTGATACCAATACAGGTACTCTGCAGAAGAAAGGGAGAAAAGAGGATTGCAACCCAATCGGTTAAGAAAACCATGTTGCAACAAACTTTCATTAACATCTCATGCATATTCTGAGGCCTGCACTAACAGTGTTACACTGACACCCATTTTTCAGTCTAACAGACGTCAGACCAGCTTGAGGTTATAATGCCCAATACAATATTGTCTATCTGAATTCCATTCTTCAACTTCATACTAGAGAGTGCTCCTACATGGAAAGAGACTCGTATTTACAGAAGAATTTTCTCCAATAGTTCATGAAGTTAGTGAAATTTTTTCGTCAAAATGGTATCAATTGCAGCTCACATAATTAGAGCTCTAAGTCACTCTGAATTTCAAGAAGTACTGCCTCCACACATCAAGTATAAGGTAATAGTTACAGTGAAATTCATTTAGACGTCATCAGGTTACTAGCGCATGCATTGTTAGAAGTAATTGACATGGTTGGAACTTTGATGGTTGCTTAGCATAAACTTTTAAGGTTGAAGTGATATGCAGCAGCTGAAAGCTAAATGCATACATGGTTAGTAAGTTGAGGAGGCAAAGACACTGATAATGTCTCATCACAATATTAGTATAATATTCCTTTTGGCCAGCCTCATATTACAAAATGCCAAAAAGAGGGTAGCAAAGGAAAGGAAATTAATTTTCCTTTGAACGATTATGACCATCAGTTCTAGTTTCATGAGATTATAAACCAACCATTAACAAGATTATCAAGAAGGAGGACCAATCATCAGCTATTTTTGTTCATCCGCATCAGGAATGAAAAAAGAAGCATAGAAAAGACAAATATACTAACCCAATATCCTTATCCTCTCGTAACCACTCATACTTGCTGGGACCTTCTCTTCCTCCAAAGTACTGTCCAATTCCTTTGATCATATTTCCCTCCACCACATCTCCAATTATTTGCACATTGCTCACTGATGGAGGAGCTGAAAATAGGAAATTAATAAATCAAATGTCATGAAGCAAAAGAAATATGTAGTTATACTCAATGCCAAAGGTAGAAGCAGAAAGAAGACTATTTAGGCCTTTGTACAAGTGAAGCATATGCTTAATGTTTAAGCCTGTTTCATGTCAAATTGGTATCACATGCCAATGTCTACCTAATTTCTTGTCCATCTTAGTTACTTGACTGCTTCTATCATCAAAAGTTGGATTTTTAACAATATCAAAACATCATCTCCAATGTTAGACAGCCTGATAATGACAAAGTTTTCGTATGTCAACCACATAAGATAACAAAGAAAAAGGAAAAACAAACACTTAAAGCTTCCCATCAGCCAAATTTGTAGAAGAAAGTTGGAGGTGAACAGATATAAGCAAGATATAGTAACACTTCATTGAGTTCTGTGTGAATGACAGAAATCCACCAAAAATAGTATAAGTGAAATTGATGACTCGAAGAATTTGACTACTACTTGATAACTGTGTAAGTTACAAAATGAAAGGTATGATACTGGTTTTTGCTAGCAAGCTGATGATCATTTGTCTTCAACAGCCAATCTGATTATGTATTGTTAAGGTACAAAACCTTCAGGATGTTTGGTGCCCAACAAGCAGTTGGATTAACAGTACATCAAAGATGATTAATGTGAAACATGTTAAATGGCAGTTGGATGCCTGTTCAAGCATTATGAATAATTAAAGCAGTTATGCTACACCAAATCACCTCACAGCAGTACCAGAGTGGAGTTGGAAGAATAAATTTTATTCTAGTTTGCCCACCTTAAAATGACTAACAAATAATTTGCTTTTGCAGACAAGAAGAAACAAAGAAAGAGAGTAAGACAGAGATGTTTTGACCTGCTTTTACATGATCCGTTATTGCATACTGAGGTTCCCCTTTAGCACCTTCTTCAGTAACAGGAGTATACATATAAACCAAACAAGAATCAACATCATCAAGAGTCAAACAATATTCCTCGCCTTCTGCACCAACAATTACCACAGGACTGCTATTCCATCTTCTTCTCAACCAACTAAACAACATGAAGCAATAAGTTAGACTCATTCCCATACTCAGCAAGGAAACTGCATCTTTCAGACAGTAGACAATCTACATAACCAAAGTATTTTTTTACAAGAACTTGAGAAATCTTACCTAGAAACTCCCTTTCCTGGAGTCCCACCACACCAGGCAACTTCAGCATATCCCCTAATAGTGTTTCCTTCAACAAGATCTCCCTGGATGTCAGTCTTTAAAACCTTTGGATGCCTAGTTCCTTCACAGCAAATCAAAAGCATAATCAAGTTTAATGATTAAAAAGCACACTTAAACTAACAGTTTTGTAATAAGAAGTATTCTAATACTAAACATTTTTCACAGCATCTCCAAAAACCTCTAGACAAGAGCTTCCATATCGGCTCTAACACAATGGACTAAAGCAAAGAACTGAAGATACCACGGCAAAAACCAATGACCTTGTCAAAACTAAGCATAATTTCCTGTTTGAATTTGTCATGGAATATTATAGGTCAAGTAAGCTCCTATAATCAAGCTTTTGACACATTCTCTCATGTTCGGGACCACTGTATCAACTGGTCCTATGACAACTGGTCTCAGAGACTGCTTTCCCATGTCATCAGTAATCATTTTTAACCCAAAATCCTGATTATACTGTCTTCTCCCCACTTATTTATATCTGACTTTCCAGGTTGTCAACCAAATGAAACATATAGAAACAAGGAGAAATGCCACAAATAAAAATGGCTAAAGGGATAGAGCTGAATACAATATTCTCTATTGAATGCATATTAGGAAGTAGTCTAGATATAGCAGACTTGAAATTCATAATTAGAATCAGACTTTGATACTGTTGTCTTAAACCCATAAATGATCCTATTGCAACTTGTGAAGTAGCAGCAATCAAACGAACTTACGAGAACATGAATGACGTATTCAAGTGGTAAATTCAACAAACTAAGTGGAAAATGTATCGGAATACATTGCAGTGTTTTGAGGATGGCCAAGTTTTAATAGATATTAGAAAGATCAAAAATTCTTGTGACTAGAAAAGTCTTTACAACTTATAAATTAGGAAATTTTCAGTAGCAAAAGTAAGCAGAAATCCTTATACAAGCAGCTTCAAACAAATCGAACTAAATCCAAGGATAGAAAACATTATGCTGAATTTACTGTTTATATTGCAAAGACATAGATGTGATGTTTTGTGGAATTACTCAACAGTTGCAAGTAAGAAGGATCCCCTTACAAAAATGTGGCTAATTGTAATATTTCGAGTGCATAATGCTCTATTTTTTCAAGTTCAAAAGAGATTTTTCATAGTGCAAAACCATTTGACTGAAACTAAACTGTAGACACGAGATTCTGTATAAAAAAGAGCCTAATTTCTTATTCATCAAATAATATTATGGGAGTCTAGATTCATAACTTCTCAGCTTGATGATAAAGAAGTTCAAAATGACACCCAAAAAAAGGATCCATAAATGGAAGGAAATGAATCCCAACTTAATCGAATTACAGATCAACACCTTAAAGCAAACATAAAGTAAACACAAATATGAATCTATCAGCAATTCTTCATCTTTATTCTCCGTTTGAAAGTTCAGGATATTTTAAGTTGCTTGGCTCACCTTAATTCCTAGAACCCAACTATAGGAGGTTGATAACAGAAGAATTAAGTTCTTTCAGACATGTCCTAGATTAGCTTTGACAACAATGAGAGAGAACAAATTTTCTCCCCATCCATGAAATTAATTATGCAAAACCCGATGGTACTAACACCTGGAAACTAAACAACAAACCTAACAAAGCAGAATTTGGCGAGGGAGTCACTTTAATCAATTTTAGTTCAACAACAGAGTCTGCCTAAAGCACATCACTCAGCACAAAATATCACATATCTTGAACAATCCCTACTTTTAACGTCTAAATATCATATTCTGAATTTCTCTTAGTCGGTCTTATTTTAGAAAAAATTCCACTACATTCTATTTCTACTGAAACTCAATGTATCTACCAAACCATAGACTTTTCCTTGCATATGGATACTAAGATGCATAGATAAATATAGCTCACATAGTTGGTGTCCATTTCAGAACATGGCTACTACTTCACTATGCTATTGGACTGACACCAAAAATAAAAGAGTTGATCTAAGGAAAATGCAGCTTTGGAAACTAAAGGAACTGAAACTTCACAAGAAATTCCACTTGACAGGACCTCAAAAATGGGGAAGACTAGGACTTCAGACGCTAGACTTGAGAAAGGGATGCATGGGCGCACAAAATGAAAAACAGACTGATTTCACAACAAATAACTCCACATTACAGTAAAACAAGTCAAATGAGTGAACAATAACACCATAGACTATTATGGAACAATCAGAAGATTATTATGGATGTTAAAGGAAGAAAAATACCAGGAGAAACTGGGAAAGATATTGCAAAAATTGAGGGGTATTCAGTGTCTGCCAAGATAGGTGTACACTCCACTTTCAGAATTCTATTGACCTCCTCACGTTTTGGCCAATATACCTGACATCACAAAAAAAAAGGATAAGAGATGTTCAGAAATTTAAAACCCTTAAACAACTTTCTACCTTTTCAGTTGCACCAGGAATTGCTCTGAAGTTTGATGGAGTCTTGTCTCCTATAAACCACTGGTATTTTAAGAATAATTCTGCATCAGTACTTGCACATTCATCTTTGACAAAATCAAAGTTACAGCAGCAGGGATCTTCTTCAAATGGTTGCTCAACTGAGGCTCCTCTTAACAGGAATCCTGGTGGAAGTTGTTCTTTCCATTGTTCAAGCAAAAATCGAAATGCTGAATCTGGAGATAACGCAGAAAAATTAGGAGAAACAAAACAAAAATGATGAAGATCAAACATAATAAGAGCCATAGTTTCCCTTATCCTTCAGACTCACCAACAGCTTGGTCTGGACGGCAAAACTCCCAACCACCTCTAATGCACACAGCTGTATGAGCAGGATAGCGTTTTGCAAGCACAACTTCCTCACGTGAAAGATCTATAAAAGAGTTCCAGGACCAAGTAAGCCAAAATTTAAGGATGCAATGAGACAATATTCAAAAAAATTGATCACATTTCATACAGAAGAACAAATAAAAGATCAGCAACAGGACAAAAGACTAAGACAGAATAAGGTGGACATTTTAATTTGGTGTTGAACATTTCCTTGAATGAGGTTGAGCCGAAGCAGGGGCAAACATTAAATGGAGGGTGACAAGGAAAAACAAAAATAGAGTATATCTCCTGAAAAAGTGACTTTCAGTCGAGGGCCCATTACGGAGGAAACAAGGAAATGCAATGACAGAGGTGACTATCTGCAAACAGTTAATCATCAAACATAACATGCATCTAGGAGCAAAAGGCAGATTCCGACAGCTAACCTAGAAGAAAAAGAAAAAGTGAAGGCGCATGTATGCGTGCCTTGGTAAGTGTGTCTGTGACTGAGAAAGAGAGAAATATAAAAATAGAGAGGGAATAACAAGACAAATGGCTCAAAAAGCATAGCTTACCTCTGTCATTGAACTTTTTCAATGTTGGACCAACAAGCAAAACAGAAGCTGCTTCTAGATGAGGCATCTTAAGAATAGGATTCTCCTCCACTCGCAAATGCTACAGAGTTACAGAAAATGGAAAATATCAGTCATATATGAGCATATCAGAGAACATCTGCAAAGCTCAAAGAAAAATACTAGAAGAAAATAGTCAATAAAAATATCAGCAAAATTACTAGAAGAAAATAGTCCCTAGAAATATTATTTCAAAAGGCCTTAAAATATCTACTCATATCATCATATATATGCATAGATATATCTGTATAAGATTTAATATTTATGTAAATATACTGCAAATCATATTTGACAAGGAACAATTTGAAATTCCCCCACCGGTTCATAAAAATCTCATTTCCACAATTTTCTTATTTTAAAACAGTCATGTCAGCAAAAATAAATGGTTAAGCCAACCAGTATCATGGTGATTTTAAAGGAACTGACGAGTCTAACTAATTAGTGTTTCTGTTCGGTAGTCAGAAGATGAATGACAAAATGCATAGAGATGCCCGGAATGGCCATTATCTCATAAAGCTGCAACCCTAGGTCATTGTCTGCTGTGTTTGAAAGACTTTACAGGTAAAACACTAAAATTGCAGCATTCCAGTGCACAATGCTGCATGAAACAAACTAAATGATGAAAACTGATGTGTAGAACTGAAGAGGAAAGAAGAAATTTTAAGAGAAAAATATTACATCTCCTGGAGAATAAGACATATCAGCAGAGAAGAGAGATGAGAAATGCTATGGTTCGAGATCCCCATAAAGTCCGAACCGAGCTTTTTGATTTTTGTGTGAATGAAGAGGGAAAAAGGATACAAATTCAGAATTCTTTTCCACTGTCAATAACGTAAAAGGCGGCACTTGACATTTCTTTCCTACATAAAATTTTCTTCTTTCCCAGTCAACTTCAATTAGAAAAAAACAAGTTTATTTGTTTCCTTCCAATTTCGAGTAAAAATTAAGTTTCTATGTTGTTTCCTTTTCTGTGTAGAACTTGTAAACAGGAAAAATATATCATCTCTCCTTTTTCTCATCCTCTTACAGGTAAAGTTTCACTCTCTTGTCCTCAACCACAGCGCGTAATGCACAGCAAGCTTCCCTTTTACTTATGTTTCACAAATATAACTTGTTATTATAAGCAATCTAAATAATATAAAGCATAAGGAAAAAAGACTACATAACATGGTGATTGTCATCTCAACGGGCTAGTTTGAGGCCTATCAATAGGGACCAAAACAGATATGGTCACTTTTATTTTCTTCAAATAAATGCTATCTAATGCTTAATGAACTGAAATCACAATGGTTAAAAAAATTCAGATAAAAAAGACACCAAGCCAAATGTACTAAACTGACCTCAAGGACTGGTAAATGTGGGAAGCCCTTCAACGTTGATATTTTGTTTTTACTGGCAGCTAATACCTGCATAGATGGGAAGTAACACATAAAGTACCACAATAAATCTTCACCTTGTTTCTTTTTCTTTTCTTTTCTATTTTTTTTTTAGGTAGCATCACCTTGTTAATGAACTAACAAACCTGTAGCCGAGGTTGGCTTGCCATAGCCAGAGACTTTAATTTGTTTTGAGCAATAGAAAGAAACTGAAAAAAAGGAGAGGAGTAAACAACAAATAACAGATCAGAAGCTTGATGAAACATGTACAGAAACATGGGAAAAAACTTGATGAAGGATGGATAAAATGGGAAACAAGATTGGGGCTCACCTCCAAATTAGGAAGCTCAGGGAGACTAACTAATGATGTAATCTGGTTCCCAGCAAGATACAGTTGCTACAAGAAAAGAATATAATAGAACCTTATAGCAAGAGAAAAGCCTATCACAGCCAATAGCAAGTGCATCTAATCTGCAAGAAAATGTATACCTGAAGCACTTTGCAATTCTCAAGTGGTTCAAAACCAGGCCCTTTGAAATCATTGAAGCTCAAATCAAGAACCTAAATATCCCACAGAATAACTAGTGAGAAGCTTATTTTCAATGAAGAACTGTAATAACTTGTAGACCAACATATAAGCTAAAGAAAGTCTGAATTCCAATATAAATTACTTCTATTACAGCATGCATCAAAAAGAATGACAGGTGAAAAGACAGTTTTTTAACAAACCTTTACTCGCTTCAGTATTTTGATGCCATCCAACGTAGACAAGAGATTGTCCCGGAGATAAACAAACTGCCCAACAGGAGAATCAGTTAAAAGAGTAACTCGTATAAACAAAAACTGCACTTCTGGTGCAATCAAAAAGTTGAATGAATGTTAGTCTTTGCTTCTTTAATTATGAATGGCTTGTTTACAGCACGGAGAATACCATCATATTCATAACAATAAAAAATATTATATCTTTTCCTGTGGATAGTCTTGACTTTAATAGCCTCAGCTGAAATGTTGGTACATGTGGGTCATTATAGATAAGAGATAGCATCTGTAAACTGAACAAAAAAAAAGCACAGAAGTTTAATACATCAATATCCACGTAATCTACCTTTATTATCATTTTTTTTTGAGAGGTCCTATCAAACCCACACATACCAGTATTTCAGATGATGCAATAAAAAACCAGATTTGCCTATAGAATCTGGCATTTCAAGGATAGTGTAATTCCTCTTAGTGGCTTGAACTAATGAAGTACAATTTACAATGCAGAGCCAGAATTTTTGTAGGATGTTCTTCAAGTTTCATGAATTTCTTAGAAAAAACTCTCCGACAACATAAAGAAAGTACTTGTCAGCAATCTATGCTTCATTATTAATTCCTGATAGCATGAGAACAATTGTAGTTCCTTATGTCTGTTTTCAGTCTCCTTAGCAACAGCAAACAGTGATCACATACAAATGAAAGAGGACAAGGAGCCTTGCAAAATAAAGCAGTCTAAGAAGAACAACATACCTCCAAACTTGAGGACAAGTTCAGCCCACTGCTGTTCAGACTACGTATTTTGTGGCCTCTAAGATCCAATCTCTTGATGGAAAAAGAATTTGAATAAGACGTAGAAAATAGAGAAACTTGGAGAGACAGGGAGGGGGAGAATTTTCAAAAGGTTTTCAGACAAATAACCTGTTAAATAGCAATCAAAGAAACATAAACATGAAGAATAATAAGGTTTAGTAATAACAAGATAAAATGATGGGACAGATACGAAAGGAAAGAAATATAGAGGGAAATTGCAGACATAATACAGCAACCATAACACTAGTAAATTTCATGCCTGGTCACTTAAAATGCATGAAAAACAGAGAACATGCTAAGGAATACCACTCACTGGAACATGGGCTTTACCCTTGCATCTCTTCAAGTTGTGCTATGCTTAGTGAACTTAGTAATACATTGGTAGAACTTAAAGAGTATCAAATATTTCTAGTAATTGCAAAAACTATCAGAAATCAATCCTAAAGCTGACTGCAAGCAAAAGGAAATAATGTTTGCCAAAGAAAATGGTGAAAAACCAACGAAATAATCCTATACAATCTATAACCCAAAGGTTTCTACCCATTTTATATACGAGTGCAGTGAAGACAACTATGGCACAAGGATGTGCATTGTTGTATCATGCATGAGAAGGTTTCAAAGGTTAAGCCCGTGGCACCCTATTTCTTTTACTGAATTTTGTAAAATATTAATAAAATTTTTCATCTAATGGCAAGGAAATGCAAAAAAAGTAAGCATACCACATCATCACCAGCTTTGTTCTCCACTTGAGGAAGCATAATAAGCCGTGAATCTCGACTTTCAGGAGTCCCGGCCTTCTTGCGACTAGACAAATTCGAACTCTTATCAAATGATGTTGAAAATGACCCACCTTTAGATCCAGTTGTTGGCGTCCGAACAGTTGGAGAAGAGATTTTTCCAACCGCTTTTCTAACCACAGAGCTGCTGCCAGTACTATCAAGTGATGTAGAAGCAACCTTCTTAGTGGATGAAACTGAAGGCGGAGATGGCCTGACAGGAGTTTTTTTTAGATATTCATGCTTGCTTGCATCAGAAGTTGATGAGCTTCTTGGACTTCTAGTAACAGTGGATACAGGAACTGACTTTCTAATATCTGAAATGCTGGTCCTATTGGTAGCTCCAGTACCAACAGAAGGCAATGAGCTCCTCCGAATCTCTGGAAGGGACCGCCTTACTGTTTCTGAGACCGAAGAACTAGTCTTCCTACCAGCCACTGAAGAAACACCACCATCCTGCCGTTTTGTCAGCAATGATATTGGTTGTTTTTCAGCTAAACCACCAGTGCTATTCCTCCTAACAACTGGCACAGAACCCAAGCTCCGTGTCACACTACTTATAGTTGGCCTAGTCAAAGTTGATCTTATTGCAGTTGTTGAATTAGCAACTGAACCATTCTTGACTTCAGTCCTCCTTTTCGCTATCCCAATACGAGCAGTGCCCTTTGGCAGTGTCGAAGCATTTGGTTTGGCACATTTTGACGCTCTTTTAACACTCTCAGCAGATGATGGATTCATAGACTCTGATTCTTGAGACATTTCCTCAAAATTATCCACCGACAATGGCTTCTCTATCTCAGAATTTAGCGACTTCTCCACTGAATCATCAGTAGATCGAACTAATGGCTCCTCCATTAGTATTCACAGGATTCAAGCCCGAGGAGCCTCCAAAACCAAGTTATCCAACCCAATCTAGTAAAAGAAAAATTAACCAAACACATAAACTACATTCTAGAACTCCATCTTTCTATAAATTTCCAAGAAATTCTACATTTACCCGACAAAAAAGGAAGAAGAAGAAGCACAAAAACCTTGAATTTACTTATATTAAGTGAAACTGCACCAAATTCTCTACTGAATTTCACTTGCAGCAGGTAAGTTATACAAAATTAGACTAAAACTCTAGTCTCCTCACTCTTCTTTTACAAAATCCCATCTTTTTGGGCATCTATTCACATTAAAAAGGAAAAGCGACTGGCTGAAAAAATAAAAACAGCAGCAAATTTGTTACTTTACTAGAAACAACAACAGTTCATGGGGAAATGAATGCATACACCGACAGAAAAGGGACCCCCTTAGATCTATCACATAATGCAGCTTCTTTTACTAAAATTCAACCTCTTCAGCCAAATTCTTGAGAGCCCAGAAATCTTAAAAAAAAAAAAAAAAACCAAACACAGAAAAGGACTTATTGATACAGCAAAAAGGGTTAAAAAGACGCGGGTTTTTACATACCAAAAGTGCAGAATAGATCTGATGCAGTAGTAAGCAAGAAGCTCAAGAAAAAGCTGCAGTTCAACTACATTTGGACCATTTTTACTTACTTTTCTTGAAGGGCTTCACTGTTTGAAGCAGAGAACAAGAAACATTTTTTAATAAAGGGAAACAAAACAGTCCCACTCTCGTCCAATCCACACTCCTATATCGTACTTTACGAAAGCGTGGCTTGAAAAAGAAAAGTGAGGGCAGTATAAAAGTAACTGCTGATATTTTATCCTCTGATTCTCTCTCTTCTTTTTTAATAATTTATTTAATCTCCATAATGGCAGTAGTATACTTCTACACCTTGCTTGGATCGTCCCCTCTTACCTGAATTGCCATTCTCTGGTGAAAATTATTGGTTGCCCGTAAATATTTTTTTCAACACATCATATCCCAAAAAAAAGTGTTATAGTAATATCTTTTCCAAAAACTCCTCAAAAATGACAATCCCACCGAGGTCTTAATTAGCCGGTTTACGCGAGGATTATCAAGATAATATTTATGGAGCAAGAATCATTAAAGAGGACATGTTAGATGTGCATTAGATAACATTTGGGTTAAATTTTGTGTTAATTATTATAGTACTTCCAAATTAAATCTAAATTAGATTATATAGTTTTAGTGCAAGCATAAATTCGTAATTTTCTTGAACATTTATTGTGACCAGTTCATGCAATTTTCTATTAATTATTAGATGATAGTTATTATTATCGGCACAGATGCGAAGCTTTTGTGTGTTAATTATTTTGGTGGGCCACTAAACCTTCAATTATTATTTGAGATATTCTTTAAAATGCAAGTTCATATTCTCAAGAAACATCCAAGATAAATGGACAAATTTGCAAGCCAAATAAAAAGTGAACGCTTTGAACCTTTGATATTTAATGAATATTATTGCATAATCTTTCTAACTCAAAAATTAAAAGTACTTAGGAGTGGAATAGAGCAAGAGATTGGATATTTGGGGCACTAATATGGGGGACAAAAGTCATGGGTGGTACGACATTTTTGCCTTATAGTATGACTTTTGTTACCTGATGTGTCAGAGAAGTGTAACCACCGGTCCAGTGTGCACTTTTTGCTTTTTATATTTGAGGAAAGAAATGAATGGGATGATAGAGGATTTGTTTTGTTGTGAATCTCTCGGATTTGGAATTTCGGATTTGGATTATTATTTGGGAGAGTGAGTGGGCGGAAAAAGGAGGGTGGGAAAAGGTTGAATTTGAAATCAAATTTAAAACCATAATATATTGGACGGAAATTTGCCTAAGGAGAGAAACGGGTAGGACCGTATGAAGAATTTTTTTTTTTTTCTTTTTTCAATCGTCACTTATTTACTTACACCAATTCCTACTTTTACTTCAGCCTATTCTATATGATTGAGTCTAATTGGTCCTACAGAAGAATCGACGGGAACTAAGGCCCTATTTGGAATGTGAATTTTTTGGGAATTTATTTAAAATTTTATTATAATTTATTGTAGAAGGTTTTTAAAAAATTTTTGAAATGTGTAGATTTTTTAATATTTTAAAATGTATAGTTTAAAATTTTTGAAAAATTTTTTGAGATTATTGTAACTAAAGTTTTTAAAAAACTTGTAACAGACAAACTTGACAAGAAACTTGGGTTCCAAACAAGGCCTAAATCACCATCGAAACAAACAATGCATTACGCACCTCTTTGAATTAGAAGAAGTCATTCAAAGTGGCAAACCATATATAGTGACAAGTAATTAAAGATAAGATTTAAATCTTTAATTTCCCACCCCACCAAATCTTAAAGACATTGATGGTTGTCAACAGTCCAAATGGTTGTTAGTTAGGAAATCTTGGGTGTACTTTCCTCTTTTTTTTTTAATTTATTCTGAGGGCTACTCACAATTGTGCATCCGTTTATCTTTAGGTATGACCAAATTACAATTTGAATCTCCAAATATCCAGGCTCCGTATAAATTAGGGATTTTTTTGTATATATTTGCAAAAATTTGACTATAACAATATTTGTGAAAATCTTTACTCTAGATGGCTCAGTGTTTTTGAGAGTGTTTTTTGAAATATTTTTGAAAAAGTATTTTGGAGTATTTTTAGAATTTAAAATTTTAGTAGATATCTTTTAAAATTTAAAAAAAAACCTTCACCACCCACAGTGGGTGACCCACTACACGTCTTCCTCCCTATCTCCTTTCTTCCTCTTCCACCACCATTACTGCCACTCCCCCTCCCCTCTCCTCTCTCTTCCACCTCCCTCTCTTCCTTTTTCTCCCCCTTCTTTTTCCTCTCTCTTCCCCTCTCCTCTGATCCCCTTTCCCACAAGCACTTCCCCTCCCTTCCCCGCTATCTAGATGAGAGAGAAGGGGCGGTGATAGAGATGGTGGAGGAGGACATAAATGGTGGCGGTGGAGGGTGGTGGTAATGGGGGAAGAAGGAAGTATTTTAGAATTTGGTAACTTTTTGTTATTTCTTATTTTTATTTTTTTGAATTGTACTTGATATTGTGTGTATTTTTTGAGTTGTTGCTATAGACTCCAAAAATAAATATATAGTTTTTGAAAAAAAATGCTAATCCATATTAGATGTTTCAGGAGTAATTTTCAAAAATATTACTGTAGTATTGTATTTCAAAAAATTTCTACTATATGTTCTCCATTTAGATTAGAATGTTTTTTGGATGTATTTTAAGATATTTTCGAAATTTAGTAATTTTATTGAGATATCTTTTACAAATTTGTTAAACATTACCTATCACAACCACCCACTACCCTTCCCCTCCTCCAACATCGATCGCTGACAGGTGCCGAACCTGTGCAATAATAATTACTAAAAAGTCCTAATTACCACCTTAATTAAATAATTATAGAACAAATCCAAGTACTGGAGCAGGGACCCTAGGTGTGCAATGGGTTACTTGATTCACCCTGTTCCCGAAGAGTTTGCTTGATCCGATATACCGGATTTATCTATAAAAATACTAATTTTGCGTACAATGGCAAGTAGGGTCGATTCCACAGGGAGCAGGTAGGAAATTATTTCTTTTCAAATTAGTAGAACGAAATTGGGGGATTTTCAATGAGAGGCAAATAAAAATAAAATAAAATAAAACAAACAAAATTCAAAACTAACTCACAAAGCACAATTCACTAGAAATAGCAATTAATAAAAGTTCTACCCAAAGGATTAACTGCTCAGGCACGGTCCGATTAAATGATCATCGATGCAAAGATATCTCACCCATTCATCACTAGGTTGGTTATAGTTATCAATAAGCTCTGACAACCAATTCTTCCTTACCTTTTCGGCAGTCAAGGTACGACTATTGACTGCTTCCCTAATCAGATAACAACCCTAGGTACGACCGTAGAAATTTAATTACCCAATTGCATTAAAGCTAGAAGAACCCAACCCTAACCAATAAACACGCTAAGAGGGTTTATTTAAATTAGATCCTGCATTTCCCCATCATAAAGCCAATTATGGTGGTTGCCACGGGGTGTTAACTAAATGAACAATTACGGATTCTATTTAATTAACGTGGCAGTAGGCTATTAAATTAAATCAAATACCCGGCCGTTGATATTCAATTAATCAAATACCCATGAACAATTAATTCAGCAAATGCACGAATAACAATAAATTGGGAGAAATAATGAAGATTCGATTAGATCTCACAGATATTATGGACCGTGCCCTTGCGTCACCCTTTGGGTAGAGGAGGAAATTAGCCGCTCCTCATCGTGTCAATCCCGCGTGATTTAATTGGATACATTCAATTGATTTCCGAAGAATTGGAAAAGCCCAAGAGAAATCTCACGGAATTTAGAAGAGTCAAAAGTAAACAGTGAAAAAGGGTTTCCGTTGTACAGAGCCCAGATGCAATCCGCAGAAATATTCAATGTCTGGCCGCTAGCCGCAGGCGAAACAAAAGTAAAAGAGAGAAACAGGAAAAAGCGTCTGACCCTGAGCCGCCGAAGGAACAAAAGAAAAACCAAAAGAAAAACTATCTGACAAATCCTCCCCAAAAAGAGAAAAAGAGAACCTAAGGCTAAAAAGTTGTTCTTGAATCTTGCTTTCCTTTTCTTTATATAGCCGCCGCACACAAGCAGTCCAAGGAAGAGACGTCTGGAGCAAATCAGCTAATAGAAGCCATCTCTTTTGGAGTTTTGATCCTACGCTTCGGGTTCACGTGGACCACGGTCCGTCTTTCGGTTTCGTCCACCTTCTAAGGCGTGGCCACGCTCTGAAATGAAAAGTTTTCTGGAAATTTACCCCGCGATATCATTTCAATGCTAACCACCTACAATTCACACGAATATCAAATATGAGTGAAATTTCCTTTCTTAGCACCATGAATAGCCAAAATTAGAACAAGATGACAATGCAAAACGTGTCAAATAACGGCTCTATCAAATTCCCCCACACCTAGACAATGTTTGCCCTCAAGCATTTCGGAGCTCAGAAATACAACCAAGAAAGCAGAGGTCATGTAGTAGTCTATACTAACACAAGCATCTAGGGTCCCTGACAATATCACCAAAGGTAGAACACACCGGACATGTTGTATTTCAAAGAATATATGAATACTAGGAACGCTCAATTCAACATCACGGAATGCCATTACCATAGGCTTGCACATTTATCACATCTCCACCACTTAAGAGTGAACCAAACACATAAATCAAATGGACTTTAATTGGGTTGTAATGGGGCTCAGGTGAAAGGTGGGTTAAGAAGGTATAGATAGGGGGTAAAGTGTCAAGAGAATGTCTGAAACTCCCCAATAACCACAGTGCTTTACCGGAGGAGTTTCACTAACAAGGCAGTTTCCATTTGCTGTACACCTTGTACAAGTGCCCCAGAAATTTTTTTTTTTTTTAAACAACTGCTCGCAAGGCGTGGGCACGCCTTGTAGCCCATAGTCCTCTGGTCACGAGGTCTATTCAGGTTTTTTTTTTTTTTTTTAGGAGAAAGTCCTGTAAGGCGTGGGCACGCCTTGTAGCCCATAGTCCTCTGGTCAGTGGCCTTTTTCCAATTTCCCCTCCTTTATACAAGGATCGCATCATATAGCTCCTAATCTAACAGCACTTGCAACCCCAATTTTGTTTGCTTTACACAAATGATGGAATTCAGGCATTCTTTGACAACACAGGGGTAAACAAGAAAGTTTAAAAAGGTCTTGGGTTAACAAACACGGATGACATCCAGAAACGAAGGACAAAAACTCAAATTGGTTCACTATTGGGAGACAAGATGAGG